TATTTTGAAGTGATGTGATTTGTTTGAAAATTTTTATTATAAAACAAGTTAATAATAAAATTTATTATAATTATTTTTATTCAATACAAAAACTACTAAAAGTTATTTCAATCTATAATAAATTTTGGACTCAATCAATTCTTCAACGTGAAACTAAATATTTGAAGATTTACGTACTATAAATCACGTTAATTAGTATTTTAACGTGATTAAAAAAAATTAATATCAAATCCAATACACACCAAGTATGTGTTTGGATACCTAATGATATAATTAATTTTGAATAATGTGAATTTATATTAATTTGTATATTTGATTATGAGCAAATATAAATTAAAATAACGTGATTTTTGTCTTGATATGACTTTTATTTTTTTATTAATATTGTCTAAAAGTTTATTATCAACCATACTTGATATGACTTTCATTTATGTTAGAATATTGTAATGGTAAATTTTAATAGCAATGGGTCTTTAAAGAACTTGGTTACAAACCATACTTGGATATGGGTGAATCATGTAATTTGAATTAAGAATTCAAGTATTATCTTAATAAAGAAAAAAAATTAAAGAAAACTCTCAAAGTTCATGTGACATTAATATCTGGTTCTTGTAAATTTTATCGATAGAATAGTTTAACGTGAATAATATAATGTAAGAATCATTCTTATTAGGATCATCAAAACAGGTTGGTCCAGCCCGTCTGACCTGATCCACCTTAATACATTTTTTAAGTGGGTTGGCATGACTTACCAATTTAAATGTTCAAAATTTTCTAATTTAGTATGACCCATCATGGGTTAGCGGACTAGACGGGTTGACCCATCAATCCACCTATTTTTAAAAAATAATTTAAAATAAACTATAATCTAAGATAAAAGTTGTCAAACTAAGCATCATATATACAATATTAAACTTAATTAAAAAAAATGTATAACTTTAAATAATAAAATAATAATAATTTTTTTTGTCGTTAGAGTAGTTATCCATCAATATTAAACTTTATTAAAGGCTTAGTAGATAAATATATAGCAATTTTATGTTATTTAACATAAACTTTATCTTCCTGTACTATTAATATATATATATATATATGAGAAGGATTATAATAACACCGGTGTAACTTTTATTGAGTATTACACCGCTCAATAACTTTATATTAAATGTGAATTTTGTAAATTTAACCGTTAGATTGAAAGTTCATATCTCTTAGATCATATATACAAGATTTTATATCAATCCAAGATGATTTAATACTTCATTCTTATAAAAAAAATTTGACGTAATATATTCATTTCAAAATATATTAAAATATGAATAATTTGATCACCTTCAAATTGTTCAATTTTAACGAAATTTGATATACACATATAAAGTGATATAAACTTTCAATCCAACGGTTGGATTTACAAAATTCATATTTAATATAAAGTTATTGAGTGGTGTAACACTTGATAAAAGTTACACCAGTGTAATTATAACCCTGACATGATGTGCTATGTGAAAATAAATGTCTTGAAATTTGAACCCTTAACCCTGAATAATTTTTTCATATATAAATAAAAAAATTAATTAAAACCTAAATTAGAGATATATTTACTATTACTAAATAAAATGATGACATACATAATTAATAATAGTATAATTGGTGAATTAACAAACAATAATATTATTTATCAATAATGAAATGTATTTTTATGTCGCATATTTGTAATTCAAATTCACGATCTTGTGATAAAAGCATATTAATAATATATTTAAAAACTAAATTGAGAATGGTGATTGGAAAGATAATATAATTAATTTAGGTTAATGGAAAGGAAGGAAGAAAGGTGAAGTATGAAAAGGGTTATTTAATATTTAGAGAATAATTGAATGTAATAGTTGATGATGATTTTGGAAGGGGCAATGGATTAGGCATAGGCAGGAGAAAGTAGGTAAGAGATTGGGTCCTACAGCCCTACAGCTGCATGCCTCTCTTTTGTTTTGTTTTGGGTTCTTTCTTCGCATTTTGCAATTCTTGCAGACCTCACCCTTTCCATTACTGCACACTCTCTGCCAATTTACCCTTCTGCCCTTCCATGCCACATGCATGAGTGAGGAGTCAAGGTTGAAGATTCGGTGGTGCCAAGGATGAGATGAGCTTGTTGTGGATATTCCATAGGAATTTCTCTCCCTTATTCATCCCATTTTCTATTTATATAAATTATCTATTCATTATGTTAATAGTTAATCTCCATCAGTAAAATCCCTTTTTTTTAATCAATTTTTTTATACATAAAATCAAAATTCAAGACTTTAATTTAAAAAAAAAAATTTAATATACACCTGGTATTTATTCATGTCACAAAAATTTTGGGAAAAAATACATTTTCTCAAAGTTCACCATTTTTTTAATAATTTTTTTACAAAATAATAGTACATAGGAGGTAACAACTAAGTTTTGTAAAATAAAAAAATTAAGATAAGTTATTATCATGTATTTGAAGTTTATAATTATGATTTTTACAATCTTTTCTCTTAAAATTAATTTACTATATGATAATAGAATCATTTTATTATATTTAAATAAAACTATATACTTTATGAATGCTTTTAATAAATCTATTTACATAAAATATTATTCTAATTTTGATTAATCATAACGACAAACGATTATGCATGTAATTGACATTAAAATAATACAATTTTTATAAGTTACTTTAAACACACTTCAAATCTAGCACTCTAGAAAATGATGTTTTTGTCGATAATTCAATTATATATATATATATTTGTTGAGCAAAAAAATTATATATATTGTTCGCCATCAATAATTCTCGCGGAAGATTATTTCCTCTTCACCATTTTTGTTACATGTAAGATTGTTACCGCGATGATCATTCGTTGAAAACTCACGTGTTATAAAGTGTGTCACCATGAAAAGGTATAAATTTATAAATAATGTTTGCTTTCGTAGTATTCCAATAACGACTTGATGGTGTCACGTAGATATAAGATATGTATATCATATCTTCCCACTTCATAGATTATTTTCTTCTAAATCTCCCTTTTATTCCTTTTTCACCATATAACGGAAACATTCCTTGCTAGTTACACAAGGTTGACAAAAATAATGTTATGTGTGTAGAGTGTAGTTGAAGAAATCTGGATTACGAGTTTCTGTCATCCCATTTAAAGTGTCTCCTTTGAGTCTAAGGGCTACTAGCCTATTCGTGAGTAATTTGTGCGTAAAACATTCTTTGAAGTTTGAACAAATATCACGTAGGTAATTCTTTAACTAATTAATATCACATAGGCTATCCTTTAATATACGTATGCACGACCTTTGAAATTTGAGGCATATCCCTCGGGGCCTGATTTATAATATGTAAGTTATATTGTCTTATTATAGCTTTTTAAGATAAGAAAAGAAATACCATGTTGATAAATACTACAGTCTACTATCAGACATAAATTATCACACACAGAGGTAGCTAGGTTAGTAAAATAAAATAAAATAAAAAAGAGAGAGAGAATTTTTCTCAGGTATGGGGAGATCAATGATTAAACTAACGTGTGATATTAAAAGCAACGAATAAGTCCAAGTTTGCAAATGAAGACTTTATGATCTAGGCTACAAAGCATAAAGCTGTTCATTAATTTACCGATTGCATAATTGGTTAGCCAGAGTGATCTGGATTTGTCATTACTTTTTGTCTAAGAAAACAGCTAATAATGATGATAGGACCCGAAAGGTAAAGTCAAAACTTGGGTAGGCAAAGTAATTGGCCGTTCTAAAGCCAAAAGATGAATGCTTCAAACCATTATGCAACTTTCTATATCAAAACCCATTTGTCTTACACTTGTCCCTGTGTTTTGGTTAATTGTCAACATTAACCACCAAAGCCTGCCAAATAGGAGCAATAATAAGGTGCACCTATAATGCTTCAGCCTCAACACCATGCCAAATACTCTACACCAACGCCATCTCAGTTTCATTCTTTCAACATAACAAAATTTCACCCTAGATTCGTACCATGCTTTTTTTAATTATCTTTTTATGCGTTTTAAATGCATTCTAAAATGAAAAGAAACAATCCTTTTTTTCATTTTTATTACTCATAAGCACGTAAATTTAATTAAAATAACATGAAAATTTGATGTAGCGACTAGATGTCCTGTATTCGAATGTTATATGATGTTCTATTTAATAGAAAATTCGTATTTAATCTCCATCATATACATAACTCAAAAGATTAAAAAATAACTTGACTAAAAAGAAAATTTAATCAAGATACATCATTAATATTTTTATATTATTATCTAATAATAGTTTTTTAACCATCTATCTCTATCTCCTTTTTAATATAGAAAAAACACATATATTAATCATTATGAATGATAAAATTTTCTTCTTAAATATTTAACACACAATTGTATCAATTCGGTCTTTGAAAACTTAAAATAAATTATACATTTATCTCACAATTTTTATGAACAGTCACATTATAGTTTCAACAACAGAAATAAAAATTACATCATACATTTATTTTCTCTTGGATCTCATTCACCATATTTTTCGTCTCTGTCACTCAAAATGTGGTGGATGTTGATTAATATTCATAACGAAATTGTATAAAAAAAAAATGATGATGATGATGGTCAGTTATAATTATAATAACTGTATGAGCAGTTGGTCTTGAAGATATTGAGATACAAATACTGGTATTTTGGCCTCTTAAATCCGTACCAGTAACTGTGTGAAAGTACTAAAATGTTTGGAGAATCTCCGTAGACAAGAAATATGATGGTGAAAGTGAAGAAAGAAAATGTGGAGGAAAGGGGTAACAGGAAATTAAATTTGTGTGATGATGAAAAGGTGATTAAGGAGAGAGAGAGAGAGAGGGATAGGTGTGAGATTTGGTGAAGTAGAAGGGGACAGAATAGACATCCGCCCGGAAATACAGGGATACCGTACAGTCTTAAATACCTTATATTCAGTCTGTGATATTTTATTGGTCTTTAACCTCACAAAGTGAGTCACTAGCACTACTACAGTCTTTCTTCTTCTAGCTTTCTCTCTCTGCCACACATCACACCCAACAACACTCTCAGCATTGCAGCAACTGCACCACTGCCCTCCTACCAGACCACCAAACACAAGCACACATTTTTAAATTTCAATAAGCAAAAAAAAATCCCATTTTTATAAGACCCCAACTTAAATCTGAGTGAAAGCTTGATTTGATGCTATCCCAAAATACACACACATGACACCCCCCTTCCCCTCCCCTCCCAGCCAAAACATAAAGTAAAAGAAAAGAACCCCCAAAAAGAAAAAACAGCAGAGAGAGTGATATCTCATACTCATAGAGGGTAGAGAGAGAAAGAGGGTGTCTTTCTTTTTGGAGTATTGGGTCACAGCCTCTTTTAGCAATGCCAAAGTTACTCAACAACACCTCACGCTCTCTAAAAATGCATGAAGCCACTCCTTCAAATCCTCCACACTTGCTCTCCTTCGCTCGTTAGCATTGCAAACGCCACTCTCTTGCTATGGGGCTCATCGATCTGAACACCACTGAGGATGATGAAACTCCATTGTCTTCTTCTGCTTCATCCTCTTCTTCTTCTTCTCATCACTCGGGCATAAGCACTTCTGCTTCCACCGTCGTTCCTCCTCCTTCCGTCTGCTTGGAGCTGTTGCACGCCTGTGCGGGCCCTTTGATCTCTCTCCCCAAGAAAGGAACCGTTGTTGTCTACTTGCCACAGGGACACTTCGACCATGCTCAGGATTTTCCGGTCACTGCTTACAATATCCCACCCCATGTGTTCTGTCGTGTTCTTGATGTCAAGCTCCATGTGAGTGTGCTTCGCTTCTTCACCTTTTTTCCTTTCATCGGACAAAACAAAACCAATGTGTCGGTCGGTTCGGGATTTTCTCTCTCTTTTTTTCACTTCTAAAAATTTGGTTTCTTTATGGGGTTTTGTATCTGGGTTTTTTTGTTTGTCTGCTTGCTGAGGTAATTCATCATTTCTTTTCAACTTTAACAATTTATGAATGGGGTGGTCTGTTTTGGATTTTACATGAAATTCTAATTTAAAAAAAATTGTGCTTTTTTTTTTTCCTGGGCAGGCAGAGGAAGGGAGCGACGAAGTGTATTGCCAAGTTTTGTTGGTTCCTGAAAGTGAGGTGAGGTTTGTCTATGATATTGATATTAATATTGATCTTTGGTTCAGTTTAGGTTTGGGGGAAGCTGGTAGAAAGAAAAATATCTCAAGTCTCAACCTGTTAGTGTCTTAGTTTTAGGGGTCTAATAAAAATAATGAATTTGTTTGATTGAGCAGAATGTCATGGCTTCAATAATCAAGGGAGTTTTGTTTTCTTTTTATACCCGTGTTACTAGCCCTTTCATTATGCTGTTATCTGAGATAAATAGATGCAAAGAACAGTTTCTCATTGTTATTTTATTATAGTAATGAAAAGGAGAGAAAAGATGGGGTACTAAGTGAATGGAGTGTCTTTATTTGCTGATTTTAATTTTGCTTGAACTTGTACTTTATTATAGCAAGTGGAGCAAAGCTTGAGGGAAGGGGAAATTGATGCTGACGGGGAAGACGGGGATACTGAAGCTATGGTGAAGTCAACAACTCCCCATATGTTCTGCAAGACTCTCACGGCTTCAGACACCAGCACTCACGGTGGATTCTCAGTGCCTCGTCGAGCAGCTGAAGATTGCTTTCCACCCCTGGTAAATATGAATTATGAAGCATTGATTTTTGTCCGAGGGATCTCCTTCAAGTGTTTCACTAACTTTTCTTATTTGATTTATCCTGCTTTGAGATGTTAAATGCATGTCCGTCTTTTATACATGTTTTGAAATATGTCTATGGCCGTGATATCAAGTTCTTGAAATTAGTCTATATTACTTTTAGGATTATAGTCAACAGAGACCTTCACAGGAGCTGGTGGCAAAGGATCTTCATGGCCTGGAATGGAGGTTTCGACATATATACAGGGGTATGTCATGGGTTACATTTATGTATTTATGTACTAGTTAGTACATATTCAGTTGACTAGGGGTTTTAAATTTTTCTCTTTACGTGAGTGAGCAGGCCAGCCACGGAGGCATTTGCTCACAACTGGGTGGAGTGCGTTTGTGAACAAAAAGAAGCTTGTTTCTGGAGATGCTGTGTTGTTTCTTAGGTATCATTACCTCAATTGCTATCTAATATATTATGAACTAGTATTTGTACTTATGACTAACATTTTATAACTTAAATCAGGGGTGACGATGGAGTACTGAGGTTAGGAATTCGTAGGGCAGCTCAGTTGAAAAGTGCTTGTTCCTTTGCAGTTCCCTCTGGTCAGCAATTGAATCCTGCAACTCTCATGGATGTTGTTAGTGCTTTATCTACAAGATGTGCATTTAGTGTTTGCTACAATCCAAGGTATCTTTCTCTCAATTCATTTTCACTTTCCTCAAGAGTTAGTGAAGGCAATTTGTAAATATCTCAGTTTCTTTGTACACCATTGTGGAGTGTTGAATGTTGGGATGGAGATTCTAAAAGATCTTTCACTATAATGGGTTTGTTGGGAAAACTTCTCTTGAAGCACTTTTTGGAGGGATAAATAGAAAGGTAAAATGAAAAAAGCTTCATGAGTTAAAATTAGCTAGTGCATAAGCTAATTTACAGGAGCTTTCTCGTATTAGTTTTTCCAAAATAATTTTTTTTTAACTTATGTATAAGCTAATTTTAGCAAATAGAGAAGCTTATTTTGATTTTTCTTCTTATTCTCTCATAGAAGTATTATTGGAGAAGTTTATTCAAATTGACCGAATATCTAAATTGGAGAATTTGCCATTTCACCTAAGCTCTTCTATTTTAAGGTGCTAGACACGAGATTTGGCTAAATAGAAGAAAGCAAATTTCATTAAAGCTCCTAGATTCTTCCTATTAGTTATTGAATATTTTAATGCCTTCTAAATTTCCATTTGATTTGCATGCTTTGTATGTTTTAATAAGATTATAGTGAACTAGGATCGGACTAATGATGAGGGCTTTGATGTAGATGTATGAGAATTTAGGTTTGATTCCCATTGCTATCATTGTTCACAAAAAATATAAAATATTAAAGATAGATAAAAAGGAAAAGTCAAACTAACAGTTCACTAATTCCATGCACTGAAAGTGTTTTTGTTGGAAGCTATTCTTTATGAATGTCATTTATTGCTAATCTTTATTGTTATTGCTTTGGTCACTCTTTTTGTTTTCTTTCGTGCTACCCATAGTATGTAGTGTTATATATTTCACTGTTCCTTTGTAGGGTCAGCTCTTCGGAATTCATCATACCCGTTCAAAAATTCTTGAAGAGCCTCGATTGTTCTTATTCAGTTGGAATGAGGTTCAGGATGCGTTTTGAATCTGAAGATGCGGCAGAGCGAAGGTTTGTCAAATATCATGCTTGTTCATGCACACATTGAATGCTTATCAATTACTGATCTTGGTCTAACTTCTATTTGGGCAGATTCACTGGATTAATTGCTGGAATTAGTGACGTTGATCCTGTTAGATGGCCCGGATCAAAATGGAAATGCCTACTGGTATGTCAACTTTGGCCCTTTTAACTTTTGTAATATTATTGTTCATGTGCGTGAGATTGTGTGTTGCAAGCTGTAAGGCTTGATGCTGTAATGTTTATGATCAATCCTCAGCTCATTATGAAAGATACAATCTATACTCGTCTTGGGATTTGCAGCTCATGATTTTCTAGATTATGTTAGTTCTACACTTCTACATTATTGTGCTTTTCACATTGGTTTTGGATGTAAAAGTAACTGGGTAGAAGGAATACTACATATAACTGCTTTTTTCTCATTATAACCAACAAATTTCTTATCTTTTTTTGGCACATTTTTTGAATAAACCAAGTCCTTTATTATTCCATATATCTTTATTTGACAATATATTTTTTATTGATGAATATGTACACCTTTCTTTGGTTTTCCATCTGCTTCAAATTCACCTAACTCCAATAATTCACTAGAAATAATTCCATAATCGGGTTTATCAACTCTGAAGAATGTATGAACTATGAACTTCCATGGATCTTCCTTTGAGCATACTTGTCTTGAATCAAAGGAAAACCCCTATGAAAGAAATATGCATTTAGATTTTTTTAAATAACTCATGGGCTTATCAGTAGTATTCCCCACCCGTTTGTTGTGTAGCCATAATTTAGGCTACCTGCTTGACAATTGTCATTTTGAAACAATTATCATAGTTCATCTCATTCTTTTCAGCCATAATCCATTATTTATGGTTTGTAAAATTTCATTAGTGCGTTATTCAACTAAAATATGAACTTATAGATTAAGGTGTCATCCCACCTTACCTGATGGAAGCTTAGTGCACAAATGATTATTTTAGTTCTTTAGATTGTTATTTTTGCATTAGTTTCGTGCATACCTTTGTTTTGCATGTCAACTTGTTAAACTTGTATTCATTCATAATAGACACAGCGTTTCTTGTATGTGATTACCCTTTTATCGATTATGATTTGTTATGAGATGTCACTTCTATTGTACTATACAATTGATTTCAGCCATGTGTTCTTAATCTTCTATACAGGTAAGGTGGGATGACATAGAAGCAGCTAGGCACAATAGGCTTTCCCCATGGGAAATTGAGCCATCTAGTTCTGCTTCAAGTTCCAGTAACTTGATGGCTGCTGGTTTGAAGAGGACCAGGATTGGAATGACTTCAGCAAAGCTGGAATTTCCCGCTCCCAGTAAGTTACTAAGAGCTTGTTTAGTCCAGCTTATCTAAAAACACTTATAGGAGAGAAAACTAAAAAGAAAAATTGAACTAAGTTTTCCTATAAGCTAAAATTAACTTTTATTTGAGTTAAAAATAAGATCTTAGAGAAGCTAATAGGAGAGTTTTTACAAATTAACTTATGCAATAACTACTTTTAATTTATACAAAAATTTATTTCATTTTTCTTTTATATTTTTTTTTTCTCTTAGAAGTGTTTTTGGAGAAATTCCACTAAATAGGCTCTAAACTTTTTCTTTTAGTTAAAAAAGAGAAATATATTTGAGCCATGCTTTCCCCATCCAATAACATTGATAATGTTGCTAATGACAGATGGGATTGGAACATCAGACTTTGGGGAATCATTAAGGTTCCGGAAGGTCTTGCAAGGTCAAGAAATTATGGGTGTTAACACTCCCTTCGATGGTATTAATGCTCAGAGTCCTCGGATATATGAGTTAGGGAGGTGCTATCCTGGTTCAAACTGTTCTGGGATTCCTGCAATGGGAAACATCAGAATGCCACCTCCGGCATCTGATTTTTCCGGCAATGGCATAGGCTTTAGTGAATCTTTCCGGTTCCAGAAGGTCTTGCAAGGTCAAGAAATTCTTCCAAGTCAACCATATGGAAGAGCCTTGTCGATCGAGGAGGCTCGAGCTAATGGTCGTTTTGGACTTTATGATGGTTATCAAATGCTCAACTCCAGAAATGGATGGTCTGCTGCACAGATGCATGACAATGCTCCACATCTGCATGCATCTGTTACACCTTCTCAAGTGTCATCTCCATCATCGGTGTTAATGTTCCAGCAAGCAGTTAATCCGGTTTCAAACTGTGATTATAGTAACAAACGCAATAAGGAAATGGAAGGTAGAGTCCATTACAAAGGTGGTTTATACACATCTGAAGTGAAAGGTAGAACATTTGCATCAGCTCAGGAAAGTGCAATTCCTTTTGGTATGTTTGATGTTCATAATCAGTTGGGAAGTTCACGGTCACACGAATCAGTTTCGGCACTGAGAAACAGTCAAGAGTTGGTTTCCTCATGTAAGAGTAGCTGTAGGCTGTTTGGTTTTTCACTGACTGAGGACACACATGGTACAAATAAAGCGGCTGAGTCCTCTACCATCACTTGTCCATTGAATCCTGGACCTTCCTTTACTAGACTTGTTGAAGATGAGTTCCATTCTGGCGGTTGGAAGTAACTGCACCTAAGTAAGCAATCTTTGTATCTTGTGTTTAACATGAAGTCTATTTAGATACAAGTTAAAAAGGCTTTTACGAGTTTTTTTTATAGGAAAAAACTCTTTATTTTCAATAGAGAAACTCTTACAAATTCTTTTAAACTTGTGTCAAAATAGGCTTCAGAATGATTTACTTGTTCATCTCATGTTTCACACTGATTGTGGATAATGTTACTATTGTTTGCAGGGTGTGTTGCAATATTAAGCTTAGAATCATGATGTTTGCTAGCTACATGACACACTTGAATGAGATAAGCTGAAGAATGGGTCCATTGTTTGCTCTGGTTAGATGTATGTGCTTTGCTTTGCTAATATGTCTTTGGATTTCAGTAATGAGGAAAGTTGTTATTATTAGCCATATTTGGTTAATTTTATCTTAAGTTGGCTATGACCAAGTTGAAATGCTTGTGTATTAATGGTTTGCGAATATGCACTGGCCTGTACGAGATGCATAAAAACTATTGCGGTAATCCAATGCATCTTTATCCAACTCTTGGTAGAATCATGGTAGATCTGCTGCAGATTCGGCTATAAATTACGAATCACACAAAGTACATAAACTACAATGATGAGATTGCTACATGTATAGCTTGATGCGGCGTCTATTTAATTTTAAGGATAAATCATGCACAATTTTTATCTGAAGGGTACGATAAATTAATTGGAATCACATGCAGGGTTTTTTACGGTATATAATTGATAAAATCACCATGGTCTACCTAGTGGTACTTGTTCGGGTAGTATTGATAGGATTGAGTTTGAATCTTCTCATAGTTGTAATTTCTACTAATAAAAAAACATAATTGATCATTATATATTTTTTTATGTTTGAAAAATCTTTTATTCTTTCTTCTCTATGATCTATTGCATGAAAAAAAAAAAAAAT